CGCCAAGCCAGTGAGTCTTCGCTCTGCTACATGGAACAAAACTAAATATTTTTGAGGTTCCCCACGAAATGGAATTTCTGGAAAATTTCAGTTTGGGGAAAATTTGAAATTTTATTTAGACCTTTATTTTATGTTGGAGTATTTGTATTTTTACATTATTTCATGACCTGTCAATAGGCATGATTAATATGACACAGTTTGACACAACCCTTTGATTACAACACAAACAGGAAACTCTTTGATCTAGATAAGAAGTACTGATTGAAAATCTTATCGAAGTAGCAGCAGCCTTTTATTTAAAAATTTATATAATAAAAGAATATTTCAGCTATTATGGCATGATAGCACATTATAAAATAATGGAAATAATCATACTTATTATTAAATAGTTAACAATGTTTCCACTTTTGACCCGAGTGGCTAGTCAAAATTCAGGGCTGTGTTCTGTGGGTGCTCCAGCTGGAGGAGAAATGGGTGATAGCCGAGTAGTTCTTTGATGCAATCTTGTTTATTTACAAGGAATGTGCAATACCCTATTTTTTGAACTGGGCAGGCCATTCATCCAGTTATAAGCCAGACAGTCCTGTTTTTGGAAGGGTTGTCTCTGGCTGGTATTGGACAAGGTTTTGTCTGATATTATGCAGGACACTGTTTTGCAGAGTATGTTGCTCTGTCCCCTCCAGCATGACCTCACCGTGGGGTATCACTGGTGGGGATGGACCCATGCTGTTTTGGAAAGTACTGCAATGTCCGGTATTCTGGGGATGTGGCAGTGCCCACCCTATTCTGAATGCAGAAGGGACCAGGAACAAAAAGGAGCATTTCCTTAGCTTACCTGCCCCCAAGTGTCTTTCGCCAAGATCAGACCCAAAAGCTCTCTCTAGCTGGCTCTAGGGTCATACACTGCTCACAGCTGGCTCCTCCTTGGCTTTTTCTTGCCTCTTCTCTGTGCCTCTTTCTCTCTATTCTTGTCTGTGACCTCAGTGTCTGTTGGTTTTCTCTTACTGCCACCCAAAACAATACTCACCCCAAAAACTCTTGGGTGGGCTCACATTCACTTTTTGTCCTAGGTGGTTCTTATGTTTACAGTTGCGTTAATTGAAGGGCGAGTTCACACTGATCAACCTCAATGGGGTTTTAACCCAACTCATAATGTTTTACCCAGCTCATAACGATACCATCGTAAAAAAAGATAAACATGAAGAAAATCCATAAAATAAAATAAATGCTGAAACGAAATTCTAAAATGAAAATGTTCTGACACAGATTCCTTCTTCTGTTGGTGGCATCTGACAGATGATGATGCTGTTGCAAAAAAAGAGAGTGCAATTTTGGGTTGCATTAGCAGAGGCCCGGCATCCAAGTCTCGGGAGGTGTTACTACCACTGCACTCGGCTCTGGTTAGGCCTCAGCTGGAGTAGCGTGTCCAGTTCTGGTCACCAATGGATAGAAAGGATGTGGAGAAACTGGAAATGCTCTAGAGGCAAGCGGCAAAGAAGATCAAAGGGATGGAATGTTTCATTTGGAAAAGAGGAGATTGAGGGGGGAACATGATAGTGGTCTTCAAATACTTGACAGGATGACTTAAAAAGATGGAAAAAAAATTCTCTCTTGCCACAGGGGGCAGGACAAGAGGCAATGGGTTCAAACTACCGCAAAGCAGATTTAGATTAAAGCTCAGGAAAACCTTACTAACTGTCAGACCAGTAGGACAATGGAACAGATGCCGAGGGAGGTTGTGGAAGCTCCTTCACTGGAGGTTTTCTATATGAGGCTGGACAGAGCCACCTGTCTTGGACGGTTTAGACACAAGAAATCCTGCCTCTTGGCAGGGGTTAGACTAGATGACACTTGCAGTCCCTTCCAACTCTATGGCTCTGTGATTCTCCCCCAGGGGTTTCCTTCTTGTTCCTGGAGTCCTCCCAGGGAACAATTGCAGACTCCTTCCTCTCAGCCCCCATTTACTTGCAGCTCCCTGGTTTTCTGTGCTGTCCCAGGCAGGCTTCGTTCTCAGTTAACCCTGACCCTCCTCTCTCAGGTGACCTAAGTGACCTCTTAGGCCCTTGTTACCCTTATCAGGGCTGGTGTGGGGTGCATCCCCCATCACAGTAATTGAATTGGCCAAGGCTGTGGAGACAGCCAGTGTCAGACTGTCTTTCCAATCTGTATTTGGGGTGAGGGTTTCAGAAACACCTCTGGGAGTGAGACACCCAAATCCTATTGAAGTTCCTCTTAGAAAATAAGCATTTTTGAAAATCTCACCCTTAGTCTACTGGACCATGCGGCCCCTAAGAGTGAGGACAAATCACACTAGGTGCTGACAAAGGAGTGGGCTTGACCTCAACCAGATAGCTGGCTGGGGGGGAACATAAAGCAGGCCTAATGCTATCAGCATAACCCTGGGTAGCAGCGCCCTCACCCAGCTGCGAACTGAACCAAAACCAGAGGGTGTTACCAGATGTGCCTGTTACTTTGGGGTATGCTCATTTATTAGGGTTACTCTTCGGGGGGGGGGGAGGGGGATGTTCTGTAATTCTATTAATGTACTGCTTGTGTCATTTGTGTGTTCATATGGAGCTCCACCCCTTCCTTCTGCAAGTCCCCTCCCAATGGAGCTACCCTGCAGGACCTAGGTTCTCCAGGACTGGGTTCCTCCAGCCCGAGGACTAGATGAACGAACACACACACACACACAGAGCAAGTCTGAGCAGACCGGGTCAATCAGCACTCTCCAGCTGATCCCCTCATATGTCCCTGTACTCAATGGGCTTTGTTAAGCGGCACCTTCAAGCTATCACCTTTATGTGCCCCTGGTCTCGAGGCTGGGCCAAGCAGCACTTTCAGCTGCCCCCCCATAGAATCATAGAATTTCAGGGTTGGAAGGGAACCAACCTAGTTCTAGTCCCACCCCCTGCTCAAAGCAGGACCAATCCCCAATTTTTGCCCCCAGATCCCTAAATGGCCCCCTCAAGGATTGAGCTCGCAACCCTGGGTTTAGCAGGCCAATGCTCAAACCACTAAGCTATCCCTCCCCCCGCTTAATATACCACAGGTTTAACCCATCCCTATCCCACCTTCACATCACAATTGTACTGGTAGTAACCCACTTGATGAGCAAACCCTACAGTATTTTTGGGTGCTACAAGGATCTTTAGCTTAGGTAAGAGAAGCGTTGCTGCAGAGTAAATGGGGGAAGCTAAAAACACAAAAGAGTAAAGTTCAGAGAGAGAGAGAGAGAGAGAGAAGCAACCAGCTTAACCATAAAAGTTAGTTATTGAATAATAGTGATAACTACACAAGGATAGCCTAAACCAACATAACATACATTATTAAAGGTTAATACCTGAGGTAGAAAGGAGAACAGAGAGAGAAAGAAGGGGATCTCACTGCTCCCTGAAGCTTGAACTGGTCAGGGTTCCCAGGTGATGGTGGTAGCTCAGGGTCCTGAGTGCCGGAGACAGGCAGAGCCCCCAGCACGATCAGTCAGGAGATGGAGTCCCAGTGGAACTGATGCAGAGTTTGAGTCGATGCATCAGAACACTTTCTTGGGTATAGGTAGGGGTTTTTGTAGATAAAATTCAATGGTTCAAGGGAGAACACTAGATTTGTTTATGGGTAAACTGATGACTTAAGGGTTTTCTTTAGGCTAGACAATAGGACCTGATCACTCTTGGCTATGGGTGGTGGTTTCTTCCAGGGAGCTTACAATGCAATTAGGCTGCTTCAGTATCTCGGATATCAAACAAGGATTCATTACTAGAATTGGTCTGATAATTGCTGAGCTGGGTGTGTGCAGGCGTGGGTTCATTAGCATCTGGAGCGGAGATTCCCATGATGCAGTGCGTCCCTGCTTTTCTGGTCCCAGAGTTCAGTGCGGTTCTCTGTTCTTCGTTCTTTATGCTAATCCCTGTCCCATCTTTCGTGCAGATGAGGCTAGGGGAGTTGTCTCTGGTCTTCATTCTGTATGCTAATGGAGATGTCTTAATCTTGTCACCCTTGTCAGAAGGGGTCTAGGTGTGTCTCCCAACCCCTTTCACTGCTCTTTGCAAGCCTTTTCTCTGATCGGTTTTGGTTCAAGCAGAGACTGGTGGTGGTGGTGGGGCGGTGTCTTTCATGAGTCAGACAGGCTAGATACTACGCCCTGGTTCCCCAAAAACACAGAGCTGACTGGTGTCAAGGGACCCACTGCTGTGATTTCCAAAGACCCCAAAAGTCTGTCTTGTGGAAGTGCGAATTAGCTGAATTTTAGGAAAAATCAGTGGCAAGCTTTCAACCCCAGCAGTCAACTGCTGTCTGCTTCTATCGGGCTCAAGGTTGTCTTTGCAAGGGAGAGGGATGGACACTCCCTCTAAATGAAAGACAGAACTCTTCGGTACACCTTCTCGGTTGCCCCACGTCACATGTGAGGGCTGCAGCCCTGAGCTACGCAGGCCCAAAGGCAGGGATTATGCTAATCACAAGGTACCTAACATGTAATTACCTGGCCAGATGCATACGTAGCTGTGATCTCTGATGCCAAGCGAGTCTGGGAGGAGTGAGCAGCTGGGGAGAGTTGGATAGGCAGAAGCCATTTGTTTTTGTATTCATTTATTTGCTCTCTCTCTCTCTCTCTCATCGTCGTGTAGGAGGGGTACTGTAGGAAAGCCAATGATGCAGGCTCAGGAACAGGGATTTGACCAGGAGTTCAAACTAGAGGGTGCTAGCATTTAGGTCACAGCCCAGTGACACCAGCTTGCCAAAAAGGGAGTATACTGGCAGGAAATGTGAAGAGCTTCCTGTTATGAATCCTGTCTGGTGAAGAACAAGTCTTCTCACCTAGTGGGTGTGGCCGCTCTGCCATGTGAGCCTGTCAATGTCAAACACAACTGAGTGCTGATTGGCAGCTTGTAGTCTCCTTGTTGTCTCTGTGCTCACATCTGCTTGGGGTTTTACTTGCATGCCGGTTCCTGCATTTTGCATTAAACCCACACGCTGCTGATTGTTCCACCCCAAGCAGCTCAATGAAGCCTCTTCGCTTACCACCCTATTCTCCCTGCAACACCCAGCCGTGCGATGACTGTATGTACCAGCAGCATTCACGGTGCTTTCGAGACTTCAGTCGATCTCAAAGAGGTTACCAGACCTACCGGGGCGTGCCATGGGACCTTCAAAGGTAGGTGACGTGTTTAATCCTTCTGAGCAGGACTTGAGGGAGCAATGGTAGCAAGGGATGCTGTTTGTGGAGATTCTTTTGTTTACATTAAGATGCATCTGAAGGACCTGGAGTGAGGCCATCAGTCATCTCCTCTCTTCCCCCGGTCCAAAAGCCAGTGGCTTAACCTCACTCCATCTCTCTCTGTGAGGATGCTTAGACAGAATGCTGCTCACGATTAGGGTGACCAGATAGCAAGTGTGAAAAATTGGGAGGAGAGTGGAGGGTGATGGGTGCCTATATCAGACAAAGCCCCAAATATCAGGACTGTGCCTACAAAATTCAGACATCCAGTCACCGTACTCATGATGGACCATTCTGAAATGTACAGATCCTCAGAGGAGAAGGGATTCACTGCAGGGGCAGCAGGAGGAGGCGTGGAAACTAACTGGAGGGTCACAGATTGAAAGTGCAAGATGGTGGAATGGTCTGGCTCAGTGGTTCTCAACCAGGGGTATGCAGAGTTCTTCCAGAGGATACATCAACTCACGTAGATATTTGCCTAGATTTACAATGGACAACATAAAAAGCACTAGCGAAGTCAGTACAAACTAAAATTTCATACACGCAATGACTTCATACTGCTCTGCATACTATACACTGAAATGTAAATACAATATTTATATTTATGTGGTAAAAATGAGAAAGTAAGCAATTTATCAATAATGGTGTGCTGTGACACTTTTGTGTTTTTATGTCTGAGTTTGTAAGCAAGTAGTTTTTAAATGAGGTGAAAGATGGGGGTACACAAGACAAATCGGACTCCTGAAAGGGGTACAGTCTTCTGGAAAGGTTGAGAGCCACTGGTCGGGATAAAAGGGGGGTTGCGGTTTGGAGGGGGGTTCACGGGCTGGATGTGAGGGGAACCTGGAGTTTGATGTGTGGGTGGGGCTCATGGGCGGGATGACTGGGAGAGTTGGGGTTTGATGGGGGAGTTGGATCGTGGGCTGGAAAAGCAAATTCAAGTGGAAATCCTTAGCCAGACTTACCTAGACCTGAAAGCTTTGGATTTCATTTAGAAACGTATGGTGGCTGAGGCTGTTCCCTTATATTTCCCCTAACTTAGTTGGCCGCTCTTGCCCCCAAACTGAACAGCTTAAGGTGCCTTTTTTTAAGGGTAAAGCTTCTGTGGCATGAGTCCTGTATTTTTGCCTGTGTGACTCTAATTGCTCAGGGACGGACTGTGATACCCTTTCCCTGAATAGCACTGTACTCCACAAGTGATCCCACTGAAATTGTCAATGAAACTATTATCTCCAGGGAGTAGTTTATTATGGAGTTAAAAGAATAAGGCCCTGATCCTGCAATGCCATTGCATTGCAACTTGGAGGGGTCTAATTTAGTAAGACATTTTACTGTTGGTGAACTTTAACATTATTTTAAATTTACTGCTGATTATAATCTGTCCCTGGAAACTTGAAACAAAAAAAAATCTTGGTTCTGGATTGGTGAAATTTATTCTTTAAATGCACTGAAACTTTTTTTAAGATTGTACAAAACATGGCATTGTCTTTGCAAACCAATACAAAGGAAAAGAACTAGTTCACCCTATGTCCTTCCCAACCGTAGCAGCACCCTTTCCAGCTTTTTATCTGTAACAGAATATGCATATATTCAGCTACTTCGCTTTGCATTTCAATGTGGAAACGGAGCACCAGTGCGATCTTGCACAGTTTGTCTCTACATGAGCTGCTGTAGTATATTTAAAGCAGTACAGCCCTCCTATTGTCAATGCAGTTATACTGGTATAAAGGTGCTTATATTGATATAGCTTATTCCTTTAAGAGACAGGAAATATATAATACTGGTATTAGGGGCTTTTTATATTGATAAAACTACATCCATGCTAGGGGTCGTAACAATGTAACTATTTCAGTATAAGAAAAAAATATCATACCCCTAACCAAAATAGTCATGCCAGTACAAAAACTGCATAGACCAGGCACGAGTAAAGTGTGTAGCCTCCTGCTGACTGGAAAGGAAGCTTGCTATTTGGAGAACATGTAAAAGAATTGCATCACTTATCCCGCAAATACGGGGCAAATCTCCGAATGAGATCGTTGTAGATCTTGGAAGCAAGGGAGTACACTAGCTTGACTTCTCAGAAGGCTCATCTCACGAAAGAAATTTCGAAGTGCCCTGCACAGAACCCCCTCCTGGCTGATGCTCACTGTACGGCAGTGACTTCAGAGTGGCTGCATGGCTCGAACTGATCACAGAGTGTGGCCCACTGTGCATACTTTTCAACAGCCTCAGTCCTTGCAAGGATCCCTTGGGAATTCAAACTTGTTTTGGAAGGAGAACAGCCATGAGCTGTTGGAGCTGCAGCACCTGCCTTATCTCAGTAAATACAGCAATCCCATTGCTCCTTACTGAAAACACATTGCGGCAAACCTGGGCAGGAAATAGAAATCAAAACCTTCAGGGTGTTGGTGATGCTGAAAACAGCAGCTAATGACTCTGTTGTTCATTCGAAAGCAGCATAGAAGCATTTCAATGATGGCTGAATCAGCATTGGCTCTTGTTTCTACATGAGCAGTTGGGTTTGTTTGTATTTTTTATAAAGCAGGGTCTGAACCAGACACTGCCAGCTTTAGGGAAGTTGGATCCCTATTCAAATTTAGCAGCTGTTGCCTTTCTCTATAATTGATCCAAGGTCCCAGTTCAATCCATTTCCCCCTAAATTTTGGGAAAGTTCAAATCTAGGTCCCTGATCCAGCAAAGGACACTTAGATACATACTTAATCTGAAGTCTTTGAGTACTGTAATGTGTTTTTAGATGGGCATATTGCAATTTGGAGACGATTGCATTACAAGTAACATATTTTGGTTTCATGTTGTCAAAGTGTTGCCATAACCAACAGCGAGTTTAAAAGACGTGACAGCACACACAAAAATTCAGTGGGACCACTTGTGTGGTTAAAGTTAAGGAAGTGAGCTGTAGCTCACGAAAGCTTATGCTCAAATAAATTGGTTAGTCTCTAAGGTGCCACAAGTCCTCCTTTTCTTTTTGCGAATACAGACTAACACGGCTGTTACTCTGAAACCTATGTACTGAAGGTTTTTTCCCCTGGATTGGGGCTCTGTAGGTGAATCTGAGCTTTGCAGGTTTTTGGGCACAGCTATAATTGTAATGCTGAAGCTACATAGTGTTCAATCACTGTCATTATCCTGTTCAGGGGTGCATCTTTTTAGAAGATTTCAAAGCTAATCTGGGAGCAAGCACTTGGAAAGACTGTGCAGGGAGCAAGCCTGCAACAGAAAAGGACCCCTGTTGGTCTTGTTCATGTTTGATCCCTTTGTGGTCTGTAATCCGAATGCAGCCTGGAGTGAATGGAGGCATCCATAGCTCCCATGGGAGACTGGTCCAAATGCCATGGTGATGTAAACAGCAGGGTTAGTTACACCCGTTGCACTGAAAAATGGGTGTAGGTGGTGAAGTACTGTAACACATTCATTTGGCATTCAGCAGGTGAGCAAAATGAGTGTAAATTGCAGGCCGATGGGGGCGGAAGGGGGGCGTGTGTAGCAGGAAAAGCAGCTAACGTCAGGCTGTAGAATATAACGTGCCTCCACACCCTGCTTTAACTTACCCCACCCCTTCCCAAAACACTCCTGAGGCCAGCGCCAGCCCTGGTGTCCGTGCGTACAAGTCTCATTGACTCTAATCAGACTTGAAACTGGTTATTAAAGGGGCTAAACAATGGTCCCCAGGCAACACCAAGCCAGATCCTGATCCCACTGAAATCCAGGTAAAACCCCTTGTGATTTCAATGGGACCATGATTTGATTTTTGCAGAGTTAGTGAAAGTTATGTTCTTTTGCCACTTTCACCCATTTTCTGACCAGTTTATACTTGAGATATCACCCAGACTGTCAAGTAGGCTGATGCAGCGTGAGGGTCAGTATCTCCAGATCTTCAGAGGATGCAGTATCTTGAACTCTGCATTGCTTATGGGGAAACTTAAGGAGGAACTCTTCAGTGAGAGGTGACTTCATCTCTAGTCCTAATGCAGATTGTTTTAACAACTAGAAATGTGGCCAAGAGGGGCCCCCCACTATAGAATCTTAGAGATGTAGGGCTCGAAGGGACCTCAAGAGGTCATCAAGTCCAGCCTGCTGAGGCAGGACCAAGTCAACCTTAACCATCCCTGACAGGTGTTTGTCCAACCTGTTCTTAACCTTCCAATGATGGGGATTCCACAACTTCCCTTGGAAGCCTGTCCAGAATTTAACTACCCTTATAGTTAGAAAGTATTTCCTAATATCTAACCTAAGTCTTCTTTGGTGCAGATTAAACCCATTACTTTTTGGCCGAACTGCAGAGGACATAGAGAACATATATACACTGTCCTCTTCGTAATAGCCTTAACAGATTTGAAAGCTATAAGGTCTCCCCACACTCTTCTTTACTCAAGACTAAACATGCTCAGGTTTTTTTTACTTTTTCTCATAGGTCAGGTTTTCTACCTTTAATCATTTTGTTACTCTTTTCTGGACTTTCTCCAATTTGTCCACCTCTCTCCTAAATTGTGGTGCCCAGAACTGGGCACAGTACTCCAGTTGAGGCCTCACCAGTATCAAGTAGACCAGGACAATTACCTCCCGTGTCTTACATACAACACTTCTTCTAATACACCCCAGAATGATATTAGCTTTTTTTGCAACTGCATCACACTGTTGACTCGTATTCAATTTGTGATCCACTATAACCCTCAGATTCTTTTCAGGACTACTGCCAGTTGTACTCTCCACTCAATTACCTAAGTCATTAATAAAAATATTGGCTAGGACCAGACCCAGGAGTGACCCCATGGGGCGCCATTAGATATATCCTTTCATTTTGATAGCACTTAAAGGACCAATGGTTTACTACCTGTCAACCAGGTTTGCATTCACCTTCTAATAATTTTATCTAGACCACATTTCACTAGTTTGCTTATGATAATGCCATGTAAGACTGTGTCAAAAGCCTTACTAAAATCAAGATCTGTCATGTCAACTGCTTTCCTCCTATTCACTAAGCCAATAACCCTGTCAAAGAAGGAAATTAGGTTGGCGTAATTTGTTCTTGACAATTCCATGCTAACTATTCCTTATAACCCTATGATCCTCTAGGTGCTTACAAACTGATGGTTTAATAATTTGTTCCAGTACCTTTCCAGTGTTGAATTTAGGTTGATTGGTCTATAATACCTTGGGTCCTCTTTGTTCCCATTTTTAAAGATAGGTATTATGTTTGCCCTATCTCACTGCCAACTCTTGCGATTTTATTGCAAGTCTCATGATATTTGGTGTCTTTATTAGAGCTCCTGCTCCTGGAGTTATGTGAGCCTCTTGGCTTTCATTTAAAAGAGGTAGTAGGTTTCTAGAACTCTGGACCGTGAAGAGAAACTTGAAAATGTGACCCAGGCTAGCCCTAAAGGCTTAATACCCAGAAAGCAAATGGAAAGAACCCATTTCTGTTTTTCCTAAACTCTCCTGATTTTTAAGGCCTGACTCAGGCTTTTTGGCTGTTTGGGGTGGCAGCACGGCCCTGGAGCATTTTGTCTGGGACGGGGAGGTCGCTGGGGAAATTACAGGTTGGGATTCTTGGTACATTTACTGATAGGTGGGGGATGTTTTTCCCCCTTTGCTTTTCAGAGTTCACCAGTTGGCCACCAAACCGAAATTTTTCGAGCCCTGGAAGAGCGCTCTAATCGCCGTGGCTGCAGCGATGGCGTTGGCCATCACCATCGGCCTCCTGGTGTATTTTTTGGCCTATGGTAAGTATTGCGTGTATTTTCACTGTTTGGGCATGTAGTATGGTGCAGCTCCCTCGGGTTCAGGTGCTTTGCATGTTACTGGGAGCCAGTGTTTCCATCAACAGAATTAAAACTCCTCTAGGGGGAGTAACCACCACCGTCTACATCTCCTGCTTCTTTCCCCCCTCAGCAATCGCTGCTCAATGCTGCCTCCTGCTACAGGGGCTAGCAAGTGTCGCTGTCACTCTTGTCTCTCGCTCATGTCTTGTACTCTTTTCAGATCCTTCTGCTAAACCCACCTCTGCTGTGATGCCTGCACATCACTGCCATGTGGCGTTGGTTTGCCAAGTGACCAGCTGAGCTTTCTGAGAAACTATCCATTCTATTCTGACTCTCCCACCCGGCCTGTCTGTCTGGTCCATCTGTTGTGTCCTGTCTCATTCAGACTGTGAGCTCTTCCTTTGCTATGTGCCTGTACAGCGCCTGGCTCAATGGGACCCTGATCCTTGAGTGGGGTTCCTAAGCACCACTGTAACACACGCAATTTTGGGCAAGCCCTGGAGGGAGGGCAGGGTGCCAGAACGATATTTCTTGCCCATGCTCTGGCGCTGTGGGGGGCTGAATATGAACGGCTGCTTGTTGCCGGAGAGGTTGATGGGGATACCCTTCTGGGGAATTGGATGATCTTTCCCCCTTTGTTACAGCTCTGCTCGACCCAAATGGCAGGGTCAACCCCCATTCCTGTTCTGTTCAACAGGAAACTTTTATCCACCACTGCCAGCTCTTGGACTGCTGCTGTCTGAATGGCATTCATGCAGATGGAGACCTGCCCACTCTTGGGCCATCAAATGTTTTTGCAGGAGACCCCAGAGTGGTCTGAGCCAGCCCTGGATGGGCTGTAAGGCAAGTATTACCCATTCCTTTCCTTTCCTTTCAGATCAGAAGCTATTCTATTACAATGGCAACTTTAAAGTCACCAGTATCCAGTACAGCGATGGCCTGGCCAGTCAATCCTCAGGAGAGTTTAGAGACCAGAGCGGAAGGATCGAGAGACTGGTATGTCAGGATTTCTCTCTCCTTCCCTGCCTTTATAAACTGATCATTGAACATGCAGGGGATGATTGACGTGAAATCAGAATGATGTGCTGTTATGCCACAAACCTCTGACTCCTGCCCCCTGAGCTCCAGGGCTGGCCTGTGTCAGGGTTTGCTTATCTCTGACAACCGCCAAGTTGGCCAACACACTGTGGATTCAACCAGGCATGTCCAGAGCTAGAAGCATGGGCTGCCACAGCTTGAGCTAAAGCTTGTGGGTGGAGTGGGAACAGACTCAGAACCTTGACAGACTTGGCAGGTAGACCTAGCTTCTGCCACTGCCCTGCTGTGTGACTGGACATGACACTAAACTGGGAGGAGAGGTAGATACGCTGGAGGGGAGGGGTAGGATACAGAGGGCCCTAGACAAATCAGAGGATTAGGCCAAAAGAAATCTGATGAGGTTCAACAAGGACGAGTGCAGAGTCCTGCACTTAGGACGGAAGAATCCCATGCACCGCTACAGACTAGGGATCGAATGGCTCGGCAGCAGTTCTGCAGAAAAAGACCTAGGGGTGACAGTGGACGAGAAGCTGGATATGAGTCAACAGTGTGCCCTTGTTGCCAAGAAGGCCAATGGTATTTTGGGATGTATATGTAGGGGCATTGCCAGCAGATCAAGGGATGTGATCGTTCCCCTCTATTCGACATTGGTGAGGCCTCATCTGGAGTACTGTGTCCGGTTTTGGGTCCCACACTACAAGAAGGATGTGGGAAACACTGGAAAATGTCCAGTGGAGGGCAACAAAAATGATTAGGGGACTGGAACACATGACTTATGAGGAGAGGCTGAGGGAACTGGGATTGTTTAGTCTGCGGAAGAGAAGAATGAGGGGGGATTTGATAGCTGCTTTCAACTACGTGAAAGGGGGTTCCAAAGAGGATGGATCTAGACTGTTCTCAGTGGTAGCAGATGACAGGAGTAATGGTCTCAAGTTGCAGTGGGGGAGGTTTAGGTTGGATATTAGGAAAAACTTTTTCACTCGGAGGGTGGTGAAGCACTGGAATGGGTTAGCTAGGGAGGTGGTGGAATCTCCTTCCTTAGAAGTTTTTAAGGTCAGGCTTGACAAAGCCCTGGCTGGGATGATTTAGTTGGGGATTGGTCCTGCTTTGAGGAGGGGGTTGGACTAGATGACCTCCTAAGGTCTCTTCCAACCCTGATATTCTATGACATAAGCCACTTCCCTTGCCACTCTGACTCTCTCTCGTCGATTTAGATGAGATCGTTGGGACTGGACCTCTACTGCAATCAGAATGAAAATACACTTGAGTTTCAGTCTCCTTCCTGCTCCCTTTAGTAATTCAACAAGTCCCCTGGTTGGGTCAGCAAGCCACCTAATCTTGATCCCATTTGCTGTTTATGATTCTCTCCGTAGGGGAAAAAATTGTATTACAGTGTCTGGGCCTGCAAGGTGCCGAGAGCCCTAGCTGTCAACGACGGCTTTGCTGGGAGCTGAGGGCACCCAGCCCCCGGCAGCATTGAGCCCTTTTTCAGTCCCTTTGGTATGCTGCACTGGGTAACAACTCTATTGATAGCACGGGATAGGCATGAGTTGACTGGCTATCCCTCGTAGAGGAGCTATGGAAATAGATACGTACTGCACCTGGAAGAGAAAATAAGAAAGGAAATTACACTTCTCTGCCGGTGATAATTGCAGAGTTCAATCCTTTGCAGCAATAAGCAAGCAATTGTGCTCATGTCTTTTATTCCTCACGACATGATGCTTGTCTCTCTCATCTTCTGTTCAGTGACCTTGCCTAGCTGTTCACACCAGGGCAATCAGCACTTCCCACTCTCCCAGCACTACTCAGTCATTTACTGAGGGCTGTGCAACATAGTCACTTCACTTCAACACGTAAACTATAGAAAGCATCCTGCCTTAGGAGACAGAGTCCTGGCTTGGGAGTCCTGGGTTGTATTCCTGGCTCTGCCAATTACCAGCTCAGCTGTATGACCTTGTCTGAGTCACTGCTCTTCTCCGTGCGTCTATTTTCCCCTTCCACCCTGTGTCTGTCTTGAGACCTGAGATTGCAAGTGTTTCAATGTGAGAACTGTCTCTTACTCTGTGTTTGTACAGCACCTTGCACAACCAGCCTTGAATTTAGTTGGGGCTTCAGATGCTACTGTAAACACCTACAAACGTGTGGGGATTTCAAATGTGTGAGAATCAGAGAATTTGGTGGAGGGGGAAAAATCCTCCACAAATTGAAAGAATAATGTTGTTTCCTGGATTAATTTTATTTGATAAGCAATGCGTTCATAGTTAGATGTATTATCGAATGAACAGTATTCGTGCTGCTCTAATAAAGACCCCAAGGAGTACACCGGCTTTCCTGGAGCCACTCCTACGATCTTCTCTCCCAAGAGCTGTCCTTGCCCCATAGGTGAACTTCTCTGCAGGTGGCTTGAGCTCCCCATCTCCCTTGGACCTGACTCGCTCCATGGTGCACTCTTGTCCATTGCCACAGAAACATTACCTGTTGTAAAACATCGATCACCTTGTTTTCTAGCTCTCACCAACGAAAAAAATTGTACCATTTCTTCTTCCCCTCCTCCTTTTTCTCTTAACCTCAGCTGGCCTATCCAAAAAGGATGAATGGAATGTATTCAGACTACCTTTTTAAAATTGCCCTTGGCAATTTAGAAAACAACTCAGTATATAAATGAATAATGATAGACTCTTAGTGGATCTAATCCTGCCCCTTCATGAAACCAATGGCAAAACTCCAGCTGATGTAACTGAGAGAAAGATCAAGGCTGACTGTGGTATTTGAAGGAGTTCCTCTACTCTGGGGCAGTTCTAGGAAAAACATTTCCACTACTCATGAGATTCCTCCTAATTCAGCCCAATCTGTTCCAGACAATTCAAAGCATTCTTATTAATTGGCAGTTTTCTCAACTTGCCACCATTTCAATCCAAAGGATTTTCACCTGTTTGTTAAAACCCAGCTTCCTGTCCCTTTGTGGTTGTTCCTGCTTCCTAATTCATCTGGATTTATTCGAATCCCTCTGGGTTCAATGTTTTAACAGCCCTAAGCCTCCCCATTGCCATTAATCACAGGGATGCTCTGTAGATAAATGCAGTACGTTTCATAATGATAAACATGGTTACCAAAAGTGAATCATCCCTAACAATCTGATACACTCAAACCACCTATTGTGCAACTCCTGGCAGTCTCTCCCTGCTCCGATCCTTGTCTGAATAGGCTTCCTTTGTCCATACTCAGAACAGGTCAGAGACGAGTTGTGTTTAGAGAGCTGGTAGAATATTTTGGACCCCCACTCCAATACCTTCCCTGGGAGCAGTTGCATACACATTTGTACTCAGTGCAGCTTCAGCATGGGACACTGACACTGCAAGTATGAATAACGCTTCCTGCTTCCTTATCTCCTTGAAGACCGATGGGAAGGTTGGAAATCATGCTGGAGCGCTGATAAGTTTGGTGCACTGATCAGCACCCCACAACTGACTGGAATGTCTGGCAAACATATTCCCGGGATGATGCTGGGAGCTGGAGGAAATGGGGAAGGAGATAATGAAAGGTTTCTGCTTCCCGGCTTGCTTACCCCGAGTGGACCTTAGAGTTCCCTTAGACCTCTCTGAGAGAGCAAGATGTTAGCCTGGGGTCCTGATCCAATCTCTGCTCAGGTTGCGCTGTTCTGGCTAGCTTGAAAAGTTATCTTCCCTTCCCACCCTAAAATACACTCAATCAGATCTTCTCCTCCTGTATGTGGTATCTAGGGAGCCCAGGTGCATGGACAGGGGGTTCATGATTTCCGGATGCCCCCCACTCCCAAGCTTATTTTATAGTGGGTCCCCTTACAACCCAGCTGATCTCCTCTTAGACTCCTCAGAGAACATTTCTTCTCTGCTGGCTTTTCTGCCTCCACTCCCTGGAAACCAACAGTTCCTACCTTTCCCCATGTCAGATTTTTAGTTCGGTTTCCGCTGCCCCCACCAAATCAATCTGTTTTCCCTTAGTCCTCCCAGAGGCCAGCTTCCCGTCCCGCTCAATAATAACCTCAGTGGGGGTGCACAGCCATAGCGCCAGCCCCATCTGTACCCTGATCCAGCCACCGAAGGGCTGCACATCTGTAGTGATTACCGTGGCTCACCCTGGTAGGGATCCCTCAGCTCTCCACGCGGTGGCTTAGCTGGGTGACCTCCACCTCTAGCGGGGGCACTGCAGAGCCCCAAGTATGATGAGGACTGCACGGGTGGGGCTTTCCTTTTGAGAGGGCTTGAAAATCCCCACTTTCAGATTCCTCCTCCTCTGCCACGGGCCTGGCCAGGTCCGTCCCTTCATGGCCTCCTGCATTAAATTTAAACCCCTCCTTCAGCCTTGTCCTGTCCCTTATCTCCCACAACTCTCCTGCCGGGGTGTGGTGTTTAGCCAGCTCCTGGCTGGGTGGGCTGCGGTGGTGGAGGTGGCAGTGTGGCTCCAGAGCAAACTGTGCGGCCGAAGGAGAAGTGTGGAGAGGCCAGATCTCTGCACAAATGCCCCAAGAGCTGTGGGGTGGAACTGGATTTCCCCAAGAAATCTCTGTCTCTGAAGGTTTGCAGGTCTGCCCCTTCTTCCTTCATGATAATCTGAAAACCACCACCATTTCCCATCCCGGCACTGACTGAGTGTCAGCAGGGGGGTATATGAATCAGTGCATCATGTATAAAACTTGTAGGTCTCCTTTCAGATGGAAGGTGCTAGATGCATAGATATGAAGGCCAGAAGGGACTATGATGATCATCTAGTCTGACCTCCTGTAAAATACAGGCCATGGGATTTCAGCCAGTTACTCTTGAACCTAGCCCACATCTTGAGGTTGATCAAGAGCATCTTCTTTACAAAGACATCTAATCTTGAATTAGACTTCAAGTGGTGGAGAATCCACCACTTCGTTAAGTATAGAAGTTTAGGATAGGCTTACTTCAATGAATATCACTCTTGAAATATAATACTTG